ACACAAACTTTATAGAGATGAAGCGGGTAGGTACAGTCTCAATAAATTAGCAGCACCACGAAACACTTGTCGACATCTAGGATTAGAAATCTAAATATTTGGCTAACCATGAAGTCCATGTTAATTACATGCTCTACATCATGCAAGTAGGTATCATATTACGTATGCATAATTTATAGATAAATATACTGTGAGCGTCAAAAACAATGGTAAAAAAATGCGACAAGCTTAACGGACTGGCCGACTTGAGATTCGAGAAACGCTGATTCGAACCTGCCGCCGCTGGACTATATGAACCCACACGTAACACAAGCATGTTGACTATTAGTTATTTTGCAAGTAAGTTTCAGGTAAACAGTAAGCACACGAGCCACAATGTGTCTGACATCTGCGTCTGAACGCTATACGTTACGTTCTCAGCTGTCAGATCGTCAATTTATTGTCTCATCGTCACTCCATTTCAACGGCCATCCCTCAAATTAACGGCTCTGTAGAGCTCGTTTCCCCACGAACCATGACCACGGTCACGGTGCGACTTCGGAACGCCCACGGAGTTTCGCCGAGTCGAATCGAAAATTGTTGCGGCCCAACACTATGTAACGAACACCGTGGATGCATTAATATTATGTACAGTCAGCGTCGAATAGTTCATGACACTCAAAGTAGGCAAAAAGTTCGCCATCGTCTTTGTTACAAGATTGTGTTGTTAACTTTTTGACAATTCTGGGGAGTCACGAACTATTTTGACGCTGTACTACCAACATAATTGTTCTGTGGTACTATAATAGTGTTGCTAGAGATAACATGCGACGGAAGGAAGTCAAATACATATAAAATGGTATCTTAAGTAGTTATGAATTTACAACAAAAATGAATAACCTAACATGCTGCCGATTGTACTAGGTTGGGATCTATGCCGCAAAACGAATTTGATACAACTGTCTGTGCGAGTGCTAGCGTGAGAGTTAGATAGAATTTTAGGTCAATAATATAATTTTCGACCTATCTTCATAGTACGGGACTATTCGCACCTCTCATTCTCACCGCTGCAACTCCTGTGTAGCCAGGATCTACAGCTTGACAACCAAATAAAAACCCCCAACCAGTGGTCAAGTTTGTCCCAGGGAAAATAAAACTGACATTGGACCCGCAACGAAATTAATCAGAAGAACATATAGGACTTCGAAGTCTCTAAATATGTACCTAGTATCTTCATAGTTCATACTTTTTTAAAATTTAATAATGACTTTACTAACTTTTAAACAACGCTTTATTTAGTCTCGACAACGAGTTTTGGAATGCATTCCCAAGTTCCACAAATTTCACGTCGATGCCTAATGCAGAAATTGCGCAATAAGTCTAACGATTATCCAAAACAATTTTTACACTGTTGATTAAAACATAAATTGAAATTAACGTGTGAGCACGCTTCACTGGGCCCGTGATTATTGATAAACATATTTGATTAAAATCAATTTAAACCTCGTTCACACAAACCGATGTTATTTTAGCATGATTGTTACACGACATAATCCAGTCTCGGTATTTGTATTTAGCCTATAAAAATGACAATAAAAAGTTTTGGAAGACTAAAATGTAAACAATAAAATTAGTCATTGTTTTACATTGTTCGTTTTTTTTTGTTCACTACTGTCCCATTAATACCTACGTTGAAACTAAAAAGAACAGATGTTATTAAAATAAATCTATACTTATAATAAATCTGTAGAGAGGTAAATTCTGTACATGAAATATATTTTCAAAATAACTATCAGGGGGTGATTAGTGATCGATACTGATGCCAAAAATGCAATCAGTAATATTTTTGTCTGTCTGTCTGTCTGTCTGTATGTTCCTTATAGAAACAAAAACTAATCGACGGATTTTAACGAAACTTGGTACAATTATTCTTCATACTCCTGGGCAGGTTATAGGATACTTAGGAATTCCCACGGGAACGGGAATTAGTGGGAAAATCCTTTTATATGAAAAATCTAAACCGCTTAAGTTAGACGCTTGAAATTTGGCAAGCAGGTACCTTAGTAAACTTAAAGCTTAGTTATAATAGGATATTGCAAAATTCCTACGGGAACGGGAATTAGCGAGAACAAACATTTGTATGAAAAAATCTAAACCGCGTAAGATAGATGAAGGGGGTAAAACGGGATCCACGCGTACGAAGTCGCGGGCGGCCGCTAGTTACATAATATGAAATGGAGTGGAGTGGTGTACTTTTTTGTTTGAACTACATTTAATTGAACCAATATGCTTATTTAGTTAACGGATCTACATGTTACAATGTAGTCTCGACCTTACATATCGATATATTATGCAACCGATCGCACATCGAGACGATCCGTCCCGATGTTCGATTTCTAATCCGAACGATTACAAGCGCATTATCGAGCGTTATGACAGCGAAACCGCATCGATCGTAATTGATGATATCGATCTTCGCAAAAGATTATAACATCGCATAATCGAATGATTCTCTCTTTAACACATATGTGGGCGGTACGTTGCAAAAGTGACCTGGCATCGTCATGTAGCATTTAAAATTTTAATAGTGCAAGTTTAAAGATCTTTCTGCTCAATTAAATATTAAAAGATCAGAATGGTCATAAAACAAGATGGATTTCTTTTATGTATCTTAAAAATCTCAAAGAGGAAAGTTTTGTCAATGCGAAACCAGGCAGCTATTTGACCGCAATCGCACCTGATGTTAAATGAGATGCAGTTAGTGATAAAATACTACAAGGTTTAAAGTTATTTTACTACTAAGCCGTGTCCCTAATTAACTAATGCAACTGCTTACTTATTTATCTTCTAGGATCTAAGCCAAAATTACATGTCACTGATTGCGGTAAGCGGTCTTACAAACTACTTATGGACAAAACGCTCTATAAAACAATATTTGGCGAAAAGACTACTTCATAGTTTTAACAATGGTATCAATTACCACAAAACACGGTCGGCAATACGGTATAAGCTTTGAAAGCTCTATACCAATGTCAGTGTACAGTAGTGCAGTGTTAGTTTGCAGTATTAATGGCATGCATACTAATCGTGCATAAACATTTAGCCTGGCCTGGTCGTAGCTTAGCGAGCTGACGTGCTTATGTAAGCAACATGTTCAGGAAAGTTAAGACCACCAATTGACTGAAAACTGTGGGGATGTAGAGAAACAAATTGAACGTTACATTGTATTAGAGTTGATTAATTTATTTTTAATTAATTACTTCAGCATAAGGAAGATTGTTTGTATAGTATGATATTCGTATTGTCTCAGAATTGGAATCAAGAAAATATCAATTTCAAGGGTAACTGACCTGATAAGTAACGCGCAGTATTAACGCTATATTTAATCACTAAAAGTGGTGTAATCTGCAAGAAGTAGGTGGAATTAGGAAAGAAATGTGAAATAGAGATCCAAAAACAAAGCCAAATCCTACTAATATTATATGCGAAAGTTTGTGTGGATGTCTGGATTTCTGGATGTTTATTACTCGTTCACGCAAAAACTACTGAACGGATTTTGATGAAAACTTAACAGTATTATTGTTTATAATCCAGAATAACATATAGGCTATAATTTATGACGATCTGTGACAAACTAAATTTCACGCGGGTGAAGCCGCGGGCAAAAGCTAGTCTAAAGCAGATGTAGATTCTAATTGGAATTCGATTTGTTCAAAACTACTCCCCAGGGCATCCCACTGCGTTTTTCTTTGTCCGAATAGAAAAACGTTTTACCAGTGTTTTATTGGGCGCCATAAACCGTATTGTGTGAGAACAATGGTGGTCCTACAATGTATGGTGAGGGAACCCATTCTTTGGATGTAAGTGGTGTTAAAACATGCCTCTACAAAGTGATTATTCGACGTAGATTTTAGAGCCACAACATTGTAGGCAAGAAGAGCGTGTAAGAGAAGTCGTAATATTTAATTGTATGTTACTCAGCTTCTTCAGAAACTTAAAATATTAGAAATCAATATTAGTTCGGATTACTTAAACCTAAATGGGCAGTACTTCGGATTTGGCTTATAAAAGTATTCGCTACAATACATTCATATTTCGAAATAATCGTGAAATACAAAATCAACCGCTACAATGATAGAGCTTTCTTCAGGTGTGTATTAAAAGCAATTAACGCTCAAAACTGAATTCAATATCAGTCATACTTTTTTCCTGTGACTGGTCTATCTAAATTTTGAAGTTCAAAAAGTTTTGATTTTCAATCTATGCCTGAAACAGAAACAAGCTTTAAAGCTTCTGTAATATTATTCAGATTATCCTGCTTTCGCCTCCGAGATTTATTTTACCATGTAGTACCCCTGTACGACAACCCAATCCGCACACAATATTCAGCGTAGTAGTAGTAAAAAACAAAAGAGCGGGCAACCCCACCCCTACCACGCTGTGGGCTCGGTGTCCGAGCGGTCTCATTCCTTTGTGCGCACGCGCAACGACCGCACGCAGTATAAGAAAAATGCTTAAGTGACGTCACCAGGACGTTTTTACCGACAAAAAACGTAATTATTTTAAGTTGTGCAGTGTAGTGACGAGAATTAGACCCAACACAAGGTTGGTTTTAACAACTATTTTGTGCAAGTGCTCGTACATTTTTATTATAAGCGTTGTGACACGACGCGTAACTTTGACCCATTTTTAGCTCCAAGTTAACGCGCGATGTTAACCAGTAGCCATTTTTTTAAATCTCTTCGGCGAAAACAGGATAATTTAGATCGAACTTCACTTGGTAAGTTCGTTTGATCATTCAAAAAAACCTAAAATTCAAGCCCTAGCATAGATTGGTTCAAATATTGTCTTTCAAACAACCACACTTGAGTTTTGAGAGCGTTTCAGAATAAACCTATTAGATAACGCTACACCCACATACCTAAGCAATTGTTTATGTTAGTTTTCTCCAAGACGTACCTACAAACGTATAAACAGTGACCGAATTATTCCCTCTCGGAATTCGCTTACCATTTCAATGGCAAACAATGCTCGAACAAAACAAACAAGTCTCAAGACTGCAGCGTTTGCATATGAAAAGGCTTTTCTTCGCTCGACGTCATTGTGCGCGGATCAGCCGTGACGCTTTGGGAAAAAAAACAATTTGCATACTCATCTGGTGTGTTTCCATTGTCGCACGACAATGACGGATGGGCTCGTTGTAATAATAAGACGTATCGGTTGCTGTACATACCTGAAACAAAATATACGAGGAAGATTAGAAAAATAATTTTTACGACGACCATTATAAGCGACCTACTTTAATATTTTGTTTAACATTAAAATTTGTTATTCCATTTCATCATATTTTTATGGCTTTTAATGCATAACAAAAGCTACACGCGGCAGACTTCGGTAAGCCTAGTGTCAGCTCATGCTATACTAGTTATTTTGTTGTGTAATATATTTATTTAATATTCTTTATTAAAGAAACATACAGCCTTGTTTGACACATGCAGCAAAGACAAAATTAACCATAGAAGATACGAGCGATTATTTATTTTCTATTAGGATTATAATATTGACTAGGTATATCACTTGTCAGTTAATCACAATACATTATAGGAAACTAAAAATATGCAGTCGCAAAGCACGTATTGATAAAAGAAAATAATAAATCAAACGGATATTTGACTTGACAGCATTATCTCTATTTTCTTTTTGAGAAATAATACAAAAACGAAGAAAAAAAGGGCTGTATATTCTAGAGTAAAAATCACTCGTGATTTAGATTCGTGGCAGTAAATTATTTTCGTTAGAGGCAGAACCCGTGTAAGTGTCCGTAAGTTAACAAAAGAATCTTTAAAACATTTGGACAGATAAGAAGTGTTCCTGGTTGTTGCGGCGATTGTGCATTGACTTTAAGAAAGTGGCGCGTATCGCCGCTAATTCGTAAATTCATTATTGTAATTAAGCTCACTATTTTTTGCAAGAAATAAACAAAACAAAATATTATTTATGACAGACGGGAAATTAATGTTTTTTTATGACAAACGAGAAATAATCGTTGTATAACGCAATCGCGCGCTGTCACCGCCGGCTGTCAGTCACGCGAGCGGCGCGCGCGCAGCGTGGGCGGCGATTGTGCGTTGACATTGGAAAGTGGCGCGCATCGCCGCTAATTTATACGCGCCGTGTTTACGATAAGTGCGCTTACGCACGCTTACGCGTAGATACGCTAGAGTGCATGCGGTCGTTTTACGAGATTTGTAGTTTTTGTCGATTTATAGCTTTGGGTTTCACCCAGGTGTAAAGTAGTTCTTTACCGTATATCTAATAAGTATAAATTAAGTAAACATGATGGACTGACCCAGAAGTGAAACAAAAAGTCTTTACTAACACGTTTGACCCTCGAGGTGCAGTAGGAGGTACTTACAAATACAAATAAATATTAAAACAGACACATCGTTCACGCATACACATTCAAATACAATTAGAAACAATAGTGGCAGCTTTATTCGGTAAACTTTGTCTGCGGGTCCCACACTAGGAATAACCTGTGTCGTGGGCACCCAGTGGTGCTATGTAACTAGTATAGCGAATACTTCCTGACAAGTTACTCCTGCACTTAGTACGAGTATAGTTGTATTATTATCAGATCTTTATAATCATGACTCTACTACCCCAAGACTTATTCCTGCTCTGATCTCTAACTCTACCACAATTAACCATGAAATCAACCATGATATCGACTTGAGTCATCGTCCCCGTCACACGACACTCGACTCAGAGATCAAGAGATACGTTGAAAGTGGCCATCAGCCAGCGCCCGGTGTAATCCACGTATCCTGTTACCGAAATATTATGTTCCCGGCGTTGAGCAGCTGTCTAGATGATAGGAGAGACAGAAAGTATAAGCTTAGTCAAAATAAATAACCTGAGATTTTCTATTCTAATGGATAAAGACCGGCTGGCAAAAATTCCTGCTTCAGAATTAGTACCCATTCCTATTAATGCATAATTATGATGTAAAAAATCATGCTCAAAATTTATCACCTTACAATTACGAGCGATTCTAAAGATAGACCACATTATTTATAATGAACTAGCTTTCCGGCCGCGGCTTCGCCCGCGTGGAATTTCGTCTGTCACAGAAAAACTTTATCGCGCGCGTCCCTGTTTCAAAAACCGGGATAAAAACTATTCTATGTCCTTTCCCGGGACTCGAACTATCTCTATGCCAAATTGGTTTAGGCGTGAAAGCGAGATTAGTATAGATATGTTTCGTGATAGCACGAAAGAATCAAGAATCCCTTGATTTGAGAGGATTGCTATCAATTTTTAAGAAAGTTACAAAATTGAAAGTGATGAGTCAGAGAGCATAGCTAACTTACGCTTATCTATTAATGCGGATGATAAACAAAATTTTAAGATGTCTTGAACCAAGATTGACATAGTAATCGCAACACACTCATTGCAACCGTACAATATTAGAAAAGTAGCACAGAACAGGCCATCGGCATTTTAGAGTGCATAGTTACCGAACACCAGTAAAGATTAAAGGCTGACATTACGATAATGACAATGCGAAGTAGTTTTCGCTAAACCAGCCCTAGATTCGCATTATCTAAATAGTTTCATGTCCAACTTTACGCCCTTTTAGATAGGGCGTGGAGCATTAGCGAAAACAGAACACATTTATTACAATAGGGTTATCGAGGAACCGCGCCCGCGCAGTCGCCATAGAGCAATGCAAATAATACCGCAGAAGTCCCATAAAACAGATTAGTATTATGCCTATCGCTGAATACAGCTAACAAAGGATGCCTTAAGTTTCATCTTGGTCTTATTAACGTTCGAGGTATTTGTTATAAATGTTTTAAAGTATTTTAGTAGTTTTTTCTGGTTGATTTATTTGCAGTTGCCAATGCGTTCTCCTTTTTTTGGACAAAAAATGCATGAAAACCCTGCGGGTATGTTACTTTAACGTAGGTATTCAAAAGCAGAAAAATGACTGAGCGAGAGATAAACAGCCTAATCGTGTGCAGAAACAAGTGACAAAAATATTTCAGTAAGCTTTCAAACAACCATTTTAATTTCAACTATTTCAAGTAGGTTTGTATCCCTAAAATACAAACGAAAAACAGTCCAACTGACAAAAAGCACATTTTGCAAGCATTGTAAGACTCGTGTGCGCAAACGCCGTAGCAGGTGATAATGTAATAATGAATCGGTCACTGCGCAGAGCCCGCGGGCACGCCCCGCCCCGCGCACTTTCAGCGAAAGCGACAACCCTGCGAAGGGCAATACTAATGTGTATGGTAGGGAAACAACGCTGTAACTTATGAATATTTTTACACTCACTTGACTTGAAATTCGAGAAAAATAAAACCTTCATAATGAAAATTGAGGAAAAGCCTATACAGAGCAACAACAACTGAGCTTTGAAAGAAATGGTTAGAGTCAACTTTTCGATGATAGATTTTGGACCGGCCGACCTATGGTCGGCTCAAAGTATCTTTAGAAGTACTGCCATAAAAGTATACCTACTCATAAAGCAAATCGAATGAAGCACCAAACAAAAACGGTGGCACATTTTTACACTCTCTCATTAGTCAATGACTAGTAGACATTTTCGAAGGATTTCTACGCATCAAGCCTATTTTCAAGCAATTAATTTGATACTAAAATTAAATTTAAATCAACTAAAACACCATGGTCACCCCAATGATAGCTCGCAGCCGTCAGCTGCAGAATCTGACCGACGAATTATTGCTAAGGGAATTACAAAGATCTCATGCGCTTTCTACGCCGCGCTCATTGGCTGGTAATAAGCCATTTTTCAATTGCGCCCGCGCTGATTTGGCGCCTTTCTCGGAATGCTTTAGAGCAAGAGCTAGTGAACGCTAGACGTTATTTTATAAAATCTGAAATTCTGTCAGCGCATCCTCACAAAATAGGTAAAAACCGTTGGACCATGAAACCTTGGGGCAAAGAAAAAAAAGGCTCGTGGCTTTGGCAGCTACCCTAAAATGCTTATCTAGCAAGGGGTTGGAAAGATAAAGTAAGCTTTTGTTCAAGGTAAATTCATTAAACTGTAATTCTACTTACGTTCTACCACAAAAGCTGATTTTTACAAATATTAGATGTTGTTTCATGATCAAATAATTTTGACCGTTCCAACCCCTTGCCAGACAAGCATTTTAGGGTATTTGCCAAAGCCACGATGACCCACAGACACAACTTTATGATGGTCCAACGTCGGGAGCATGCGCTGACAAACTTTCAGCATTTATAAAATAACGAAGATCTTGCGTTCACTGGCTCTTAGTCAATTTCTGCGCGAGCGCAGCAAGGCAATTGATTTTACACTTCCTAGTTCTGCAAATTGACGGAAGATTGTAGGATTGTGGAATTGATGTTTTGTTGCTACTGCTGTATCTGGGAACAATCTAGCTTAGCGATCTTAGTTCGTAGTTGAAGTGTACTTTCGTAGCTAATTTTAAGATTTTTGTAGGGTTTGTTGAACCCCTTATTGTAAATTCTTTCAGAGTATGTGTACTGGCTTTTTCGGGACACCTATACACGCCCCATATAAAACAAATAATAATAGGAGTTATAATTTTATCTAGTTTCTCATTGTTTTCATTTCTCTTTTTATATTAGAGGGGTTTGATATTAATCTCGAAAAATAAGCGAAGCATTTTTTCCCCGAAAATATTATTTCAGACGCCCTTCAGACGTTCGGGTTATATAAATTTGGGAGCACTGACGTAACGTGAGCAGTAAATTCCACTGTTTGGTTTTAGGTACGCTTTTTATTCTCTATCTTTCATTGTGTGAATTGCAGAAACTAAGGTCACAAGTCTAATGTCAGTAGTAACAAGCCGTCAAAGGCGTCTGACATGGTTCAATCGCACCTAGGTAATTAGGACTCGTAAAAAGTAATGAGCATTATAAAGATTCATCTCTTTGTTTAATTGATTCATCAAATCGATTACAAACTTCATCAAAGCCTTTCGCAATCGATTGAACATCGATCGAATGTGTCATTCGATTTATTGTTTTATTGCTGCACTCTCAGATCAACTTTTGCAAACCGATTAAGAAATACTGCTCTGAGCATTACAAATCCTTGCCAGACCGGCTTAGCATGTGGGTGTATTCCTTGTTCGAACAATTAAAAGGTCGTTGAACTAACGGTCATGGCGATATAATAGCCATCAATAGTGACATAGTATCGGATATAGCCAT